GTATATATACATATGTATATGCAGTATATATATATATATATATATATATATATATAATATATACACATAATACTGCAGTATTCACATATTTCATATTTTTATTTTAATTATTTACATATTTCATGGCAAATTATTTCAGAGAAACTTTTTGAAATTTAAAAGCGGAACAAACCTATAAGACATGATAAAAAATATATTCAAAGAATTAAAAGATAAAATATTAATATTATATAGCTGGAAAGAAGTTCGAGAAAAAAATTCATTCCGAAGTTTTAAAATTGTCAACTTAATCATAGGTAAAAGATTTCAAAGTTTACATTTTTATTATGTTTGTATTTCGAAATTAACTCTTTCTGCTGATTCCTTCTGTCTTTCTCAGCACTGTGATCAGTATAAAGTTAAAGAAATATCGATTAATAGTAATCAACAAAAATCAACAGAAATAGTTATATTGGAATGGTGGGAACACAGCCAATTAAGTAAATTTTGTTTATGATAATAATGTATATAGTATTATAAATTAATACATAGCTATTATCCGATTACATAATGCAACTTCAATTGAAAAAAATGTGTAATTACAAGAAAAATCTTTCAATATTTAGTTAGATATGTATATTTTGAATATAAAAATCATGAATGTCATAAAGAATTATTAAGAACAAATAACATTAAAGAAGCATCTCAATTCAACTTACACAATTATAATAATAAATATTAACATTTTTAATCTAGAAGAAAAGCTAAGAAGAGGGCAAACGGGAGGGGTAGTCGTCAGAAATGAGAAGTTCTGGTCACTAGCATACGCGGATGACATAGTGTTGTTGGCTGAAAGGGCGCAGGACCTGAGAGAAATGATGAGAAGAATGAAAAAATATCTGGAAGGAAAAGAACTGGGGCTAAACGCAGAGAAATCAAAGATTTTAACGTTCAAAAGGGGGAGAAGAGCAAAGAAAAAAGAGGAGTGGAAATGGGGAGAGGACGAATAGAAGAAGTTAAAGCTTTAAATATCTAGGATACTTTTTCCAGAGAAACGGAGGAACAGAAACGCACTTGAAAGAAACGGTTAAAAGGCAACGATGGCTATGAGGCAAACTTGGGGAATAGGAGAAAGAAAATTCAAAAACAACTTTGAAAGAAGGATCAAAATCTTCGAAAGTCTGGTAAAGAGTATCATCCTATATGCAGCGGAGGTATGGGGATGGGCAGAAGCGGATAAAATAGAAAGAATACAAGCAAAATCACATCAAATGGATATTAGGTTTAGATGTCAATACACCCACGTACATAGTGATGGAAGAGACAAAAATAGACAAAGTAAGGATAGAGGCAAGAAGAAGAGCGGTAAGATACGAAGAAAAAACCAGGACGAATAAGATAAACAAGATAGTACAGGAATGCTGGAAGGAAATAGATCGAAACAGCCAGAGAAAGAGATCAAAATGGGAAAATGAAAGAAAAAGTTATTACGAGAAGAAAGGGATAGACATAGAGGAAATTGGGACAAGATGCGCGGAAGGCCAATTACTAGCAGAGTCCCTGGCACAGATGGACAGAGAAGAGCAATGGCAAGAGCAATACGAGAAACTAACTGAAGGAAGATATAATAGAAAATACAGGGAAATACGAGAAGAAACAAGGGCAGATTATCTAAGAAAGGGATATGGAGGAAGAGATCAGTCGTTGGTGGCTAGATTTAGATGCGGAAATGAGGAAAGAGCAAACAGATTCTGGAGAAAAACAGAAGAAAATAATTGTAGAATTTGCAGAAAAGGTGAAGAAACGTTAGAACATCTAATAAATGAATGCGAGGAGATGAAAGAAGAGAATGCTTTAACAAGAAGAAGCATTTTGAAGGGGCAGGATCAAGGAAGAATGTGGATGAGGAAATTAGAGACGAAAGGAAGAAGAGGGAAGGTTTCAATAGTTAAATATTATATATATATGCAAATAAATTCAGAGGAAAATTTGTAAGATCGATGTAGGCACTACCACGTGCCAACCCATTCAAGGCCGAAAGGCACGAATAACTCTATTACTACTACTATTAACATTTTTAAACAAAAATAAATATAATAAATTTTCACTCATGTAATTCTTCGAACATGAGCAGGAACTTGAACGATACAAATTACAAAAATTATGATAAGTTGAATTGAGATGCTTCTTTAACATCATTTGTTCTTAATAATTCTTTATGACATTCATGATTTTGTTTTTATATTCAAATATACACATATTCAACCAAATATTGAAAGATTTTTCTTGTAATTACATAGTTCTTTTCTAGAAATCTTATTTGCAGAATGCTTATTGTATATATATATTTATTTCTGTATATAATAACTATATTATATAAATACTAAATTTATTTATTTAAATTTATTTAAATTTATTTAAATTTTATTTAAATTTATTTATTAAATACTAAATTTATTGTTTCAGAAATAAACTAACGATCAAGATCTTCAAGATTCTCAAGAACTTATTAAATGAAGATATTAATAAGTAAAAAATCTGCATACATCATCATGAATATTAGAAAACATTTTTGTGCATGATGATGTACACAGATTTAACTGCAATTTTTTCATATTTGTAACAAACAAAAATAGACATTTTGTTTTTAAAAGTCTATGAAATATAATTTGAATATTAACAATTGAATATTAAGTCTTTTTAGAAGATTATATATATTTTATTAAAAAGATTACATATTTTATATTTTGTTAAGAGAAACTGTGTTAAATTTGCGTGAAAATATTGCACAAAATTGTACAAGTACAAATAAGTTTAAATTGTACTGTACAAATAATTTATATTAAAATAATATTAAAAAATACTACTAAGTTAAGTCTGCACTTCAAATTTTTTATTTTATTTATAGTTTCGGAAACAAGTAAAAGTAAAATAAATACATAGCAGATATATAAAATTTGAAATGTTGCTATATAGTAATATATATTAATTATGTACCAAATATAATTTTATAATAATAAAAATGATTTATATCACTAATATATTACTAAATGTTAACACTTTAAACATTCAAAATTAGAATTAAGATTAAAATTAGAATTAATTAGAATATTTTTTTAATTACATTAAACTTTATGTATATGTATCACAGACAGCACGGAGAGTTCAAAAAGAATTTATTTTTATGTCACTGAAATCAATTCTAAAATCATTTTCAGATGCAGAAAGAATTCTCCTGATGTAATTCTTTTTACATCTGAAAATGAATTACTAACATAAAAATAAATTCTTTTTGAATTTTCTGTGTTGTCTGGGTATGGATATATGATATATATAATAAATTTTAAACACATATTTGCAATATTACATATATGTATCAAATATATAATTCACACATTTATTTAACACATATCAAATATATATTAGCATCTGTAATGTAAATTACATATCTATACACGGACATCGGTATTAAAATATATCTGATTCATATGTATTGATATGTAGCAACACTTCAAATTTTATATCTGCTATGTATCTGAAATATAAAATACTGTACGGATAAGTTGAGCAAATAGATTAAATAATTGAGTTAAACAAATAAACAAGTAAACAAAAATAAATAAATAATAACAATAAAAAACAATTTGAAATTAGATAAATTTCTAATTATAATTATCATTTATTTATTTATTTGCTTATTTATTTATTTATTCACCCATTTATTGATTTCATTTATTTATTAATTTTTTTTATTTATTCATTAACACAAAAAATTAGAATAAAATTTTAAGGAAGAATATACAGAAAATGTACTATGAGACTCTTCAACAGTGAGAAGCTTCATAGTTACGCTTCTGTGTATTCTGGCTGGGCAATGTGATTGATTAACTTTGATCATTAATAATTCTGTAAATAATGATTGGAGCCAAAATTAGGAAGTAACTTTTAGTTCAAAATCCCATCTTCTTTCACTCTTCGAAATATTAATTAAGAATTATGGGACACTGTATGCATGTGTGTGCGCGCGCGCGTATGGTGTGTATGTGTGTGTGTGTGTGCACGCGCGCGCGCGCGCATATGTGCGTGCGTATGCACATGTGATTCCTTTAATGGTTCCAGATGAATTTAACTATGTTATAATTACTTATTACATATTACATTTCATATTTTACGCGTCTTTCAATAGTGCATGCATTTACATCTTTTTTTAAAAGCTGGAGCTATTTGAAAAAAAGTATGTTTATGTATTGGATTTCATTGATGACAAATATTTCCTATCTCTGAAAAAGTGCTAACTTCCATAATTGACTATTATTTTCTCAGCAGAACGATAATTTTTTTTCCAAATCTTTTTAAACAAAATTTTAAATAAGATAAGTGTATCTAGTAGTGCATTAAATTTTAAAATAAAGTTTTTAAAATAAACATTTTTATATTCTATTTTTATATTCTTTTATATACTTTTGATAGAATATGTTTATGATGTATTTTCGTTAATTTTTCTCTGAATATTTCATGTCACCTGTACTATAAAATACTATTAATCAAATAATATACTCTAATCAACTTCTAACCTCAAAAAAATAAAAATTGGATTCTGTAAAGCACATATTCGCATATTTATCTATAGTTCATGTCAAGTATATTGAAAAAAATACACAATATGCGCTATACGGAATCCAACTAAAAAGAATAAATATGTATGTATTTACCGATGGTGTTAGTTTTCACATCGTCAATATCATCATCATCTAACTGATTTTTATTTGTCAGATCAGAGTCACCTTTAGTATCAATTATTATGTCCATTGTAACGTTCCGTAGTTGATTACAAAGAATTAGAACATAGAAAATTCTACCAATTGATCAATCATAAATACTTCGAACTACTTGCAGCAGAGAGAAGTCTAAAACTGCTTTCTCATGCGAAGAAAAGCTGGCGTTTTCTCCTTCTCCATCGATTTTTGACAAAATGGCTGTATCAACGAAGACACGCTGAAAGTTCGATCACAGTATATATAGAGTGCTTTTCATTTAGTGACACAAGTCGACACAAGTATCGTTCTATCTTTCTTGGCTTTCAATGATTAATAAGGACAAAATGATATTTGTGCAGACTTGTGTCATTAAATGAAAAGCATCCATAGTAGCGCAACTCGCTGTCGGCACCTTTATTGCGCGTACGAAATTGAACTGCACATGCGCGAACTAAATAGGTAACCAATCATAGAGCTGCCTTGTTGCTGTACTAGACTGTACAAATTGTTCTATCTCGCTTTAATTTTAAATATATATCTATTTCGTTTTAAATACAATAATATACATATAGTAAAAAGAAAGGTGAACCATTCCGATGCGCAATAAGTCAAAGATACTGGGAGACAGTCAATCAATTATGTTTTGAGCTTTTATGCGAAATTCAATATGGCTGCTTATTTCGTTTTAAATGACAATGTGATATTAGTGCTAAAAATGCCAATTTGTTGCGTTCAAAATTGCAAGGCCGAACCAATCGTAGTAACAGGGAAAATTACATTATGTATTGTATTATTTTCTCAAAGAGCATGAACTATGAAAACAGTGGCTTAAAGGGTATCAACGAAAGGAAGGGGATATAAAGCTCAATAATGATAAGTTTATATTCCGAATGCTTATAAATATAATCTTTTTCTTTTCATATTTTATATGTCACAAATAGTTACGATGTAGTGATACATTCTTGTTGTAAAACCAAAATCATATTTCCTTTTAATTATCTCTTATTTTAACACACATTTGTAATATAAATGTACATTATATAATACTTATACATTATAAAACAATAAAATTAAAGGTTAAAAGCAACAATAATTTGTTAACAGAATATGTTTTCATTAATTCTTCATAAGCAGTCTTTATTAAAAAAAAAAAAAATGGACAATATAAAACGTTTTTAATTCACAAAGTCTTCTTTAGTATATATAATTAAGCCTTGTATGAACAAAAGAAATAATGACAGAATGCTTCTAAGATTGCGTTCAGGGAATGCGCTATTAGCACTATCACATTATTTCATCTTTATTGCTCATTATATGTAAATTAAGGATAAAATGATGCGATAGTTCTAATAGCGCGCTCCCCGAACTCAATCTAAATATGAGAACGTGTTAAAAAAATCCCCCAACAGAAATTCATAAGTGACACATCTTAACAGATTAAAATTTTGACATATAACAAAAATTAAATTTAATCAATATATAAATAAGAATTCTAAAATATATAAAAAGAATTCTAAATTGTACTGTCAACAATTTATATAGTTATACTTTATTTTTATAATATTAAATACAACATATTTTTATCCAAATTGTATTAGACAATCTTATTTCATTTTTGATATTTGTAAACAGCGCGCTGCATAAAAGTTCAAGCTCTGATTGATCAAGATCTTGTAGCGGATGATTGCTCTGCCAATAATGGTTAGGCAGAAGCCTTACCGAAGAAGGCAGGCTCGATCTCTGAAAGATCAGAAAGACAGGAGTAGACAAGATAATTGAATTCACGCCACAATTTTGTTGTTCGACCGTCGCCAGCAACGTCTCGCGAAGTTCTGACTCGGTCACGTTTATTCTTGAACACTCAACCGCTAATTCTAGAACGTACCAAAGTCGCAGGGTTAACAAATAGCGCGATATTTACAACGATTAAAAACTAATATCACAGAACAAAGAGATCGAAAACATACAATGCCAGCAAGGGCACCGCGAACACGAGAACAGCGCGTGACAATATTATCTTTACGAAACGTACAATGCCAGCAAGGGCACCGCGGACATGAAGGAATGTTCGAGAATTGAAACGCTAGAAACGAAAAATCGCAAAGAACAAAGAAAGGAAAGAAGAACGCACTTGAAATATATATCGCTCGCAAGAGAAAGGCGGAGCGCCTGAAACGCACTGCGTGTGCACGCAAGACGCTCGCGAAACACTCGGAAAAACGCGGACTAGAAAGAAACGCAATACGGACGGAAAACGAGACGACACACAGACGCGAGCGAGACGCAACGCGGGCGCGGAAAACGGAGCGCACGCGGAAATTGATGACGGCACAAGGGCGAATAAAACAACGGAACTAGGCGGTACGGATAAAACGCGGAACGCGGATGAGACGCACGCGAAAACGCGAGTAGAGACGTCACTCGCGAGCGAGAGAGAAACACTCGGTCGACCGCTTACGAGCGAGAGAAAGAGCGACGGAACACAGCGAGCAAGAGAGAGAGAGAGAGAGACACTTCTCACGCGAGAAAGAGAGACAAGATGAACAGCCGGTCACGCGCGAGCGAGAGAGAGAGAGAGTGCACTCGCGTCCGCGCGCGAGGCGAGAGAGG